CACGGCCAAGGCCACACCCCAGGCCAGGCCCTGCCACGGCCAAGGCCACACCCCAGGCCAGGCCCTGCCACGGCCAAGGCCACACCCCAGGCCGACAGAGCCATGCAAGATGGAAAGGAAGGACCAGCCTCCTTACACTGCTCACCTGCTCCACTTCGCCCATCCTCCTGCCCCAGAGAGCCCTGGCTTGGGAGCCAGACAGACATGGAACAAACCCCAGCTCCACGGCCCGGTGCCTCACTCCGTATTCTCCTCCGTGCGCTGGGGATAATCAGCTTCTCCCTCACGCCGGGCACAGAGGCGGCTGACCTGTGACGGTGATTTTGTAAACACCGACCTCCATCCCGCTCACACCCAACCCCCGTGCCTACTGACTTTTCAGCAACAACCCTCACCTGCGTGCTCTTCTTTTCTTCCCTGCCACGCCCACTGGAGCTTGAGTCCTCTAAGCCTGGGCCCTGGCCATCTGTCAAAACTGCCCCCAGGCCGTGGTGCCCCTCAACACACGCCTGCTCTCCGCCCACAGTGCAGAGCGCTGAGGCTGGACCGGGCGCCCAGGGCACTCTGCCACGGCACCCTCATGCTGGCGGGTGCCCACCACAGGCCTGGACCCCTGTTTGAGAACCCACCGCCAACTTTCCCCGTAGCGCCCAGACTAGAGTTAGACCCTGAGATCCCGGGCAGAGCTACTCGCTGCCTGAGCCCCTCCTCCACGACCAGCCTGACAGCCAGCATCACCACCCAGCCCCTCCCACCAGCCACCAAGAGGCAGGGCGCTGGGGACAGCCTGAAATCCACGTCCTCCGTCAGTCAGCTCAGGATCAACCAAAATGGGAGCTGGGGGCAGCACCAAGGACAAGTGAGGGTCTCTGGGGCTCCACCGTGCTGGCCGAGAAAGGTTTTGTGTTGCCCTCATTCATCCATTCATTCATCAGCCACGGGGCACTGGGCATTCAGGAGTGAGTTAGACAAACCCACTCCCTGTTGTCTAATGAGGGAGACAGACTGTCAACAAAACCTACAATGGGGCTGGGAGCAGCAGAAGAACCCAGAGGAGGGGCAGCTAACCCAGCCTGCAGCGTCGGGGAAGGCATCCAGAAGGAGGCGGCACCCGAGACATGAAGGGGTGCTGGCAAGGTGAAGGAGGAGGTTTGGGCAGGGAGAGCATGCCAAGCAGAAGACACAGGAAATGCACAGATTCAGACAGGCGAGAAAATATTCATCTGTTCCACAAACATCTCTGAGTACCTTCCTGTGTCGAGAAGGGCACTTCCACAGAACACTGTAGTGTCAAGGTTCTAGAATTTGATCTCAGTTCAAATACTAACCCCACTGCTCACTGACTGTAGGGCTTTGGACATGTGGCTTAATTCTCTCTGAACTTCAGTTTCCTGGGCCGTAAAAATGGGAGTAACAGTGGTACCCGCCCCACCGCATCGGGTTGTCATAAGGATTCAATGAAACGAGTAAAGCCACAGAGCCCGAGCAGATGGGGGCTTGTATCATCAATGATGATGCCTGAATAACTGAAAGCAGTTCCACCTGCCCGAGTGTCGGTGGCCGGGGGATGAGTTGTCAGGTGGGCAGTGGGGTCTTTCACAAGCTCAGGGGTCCCACAGTGTGTCCACCCGTGCTACTGGCAATTTTCTGTGATGTGTTTCGTGCCATGAAATGGGGACCAGAAAAGTGGAATAAAAGCAGCAGCTACCCGGTCGCTCTGCAGGCCATGCAGAGGATGGGAAGGTAACACGCTTGGGGTCCGGTCTTCCTGGGCCCTTGTCCCTCAGAGGTTAACTATTCAGAAAGGAGAAGTGGACGGAGAAACATCAACGAAGATTCAGAAAGCAAACACCCAACAAACCATAAGCCACCAGACCTCGGTGGACCACAGCTCCCTCCGCTCCACGGCACTGCAGCTGGGCAAACTCCTTGTCTCTCTGAACCTGCACTTCCCACAGGTAGCCTCACAGAGTGGACAAGGCCAAGGGCAAGGCTAGATGGGAAAGTGCTTTGAACTCCACCAGGGCGGGACCACAGTGTCTTGCTTTCCTGGTATCTTGTGTTTATACCTCTCTCTCTTTTTTTTCTTGTCTTACTGAATTGACTAAGACGTCCAGATCAATGCTAATGAAAATACCTCTATGGTTTCAACATCAAGTTTGCTCAGGCTTGCTCAGTATGTGACGAATGATGCTGTAAAGGGCTGAGTACCAGGTAAGGACTGTTAAGAGGAAAAAGGGAGGACCTAGCTCAACTCCCAAAACAGAAGAGTTGGATAATTCTCAGGAAAAGAGATGCCGTGGAAAGCCAGCCATAGCCAGACCCCGGCCGAAATGGAGCCTGTTCTCGAGGGACCCACCCACGGCAGACAGGACTCCAGAAGGGGCTTTCCATCTCAGGTGCCCAGTGGTGGGACAGGTGGCGCCTATAGAGTAGGGAGCTCCCTGTCACTGGAGGTATACAAGCAGAAGCTGGATGGCCAATTGGCAAGGAGGCTATGGAGAAGATTCTGTCCCAGGAGAGAGGTTAGCAGTAACAACACAAACAGACAGGGACTTCCCTGGAGGTCCAGTGATGGGAGACTCCACACTTCCACTGCAGGGGACACAGGTTTGATCCCTGGTCGGGGAACCAAGATCCCGCGTGCCACGAGGCTGGGCCAAAAAAAAAAAAAAAAAAGATAAAACACAGACAGACCCAGCTCTGCTACTGACCATGAACTTCCCAAGCCTCAGTTTCTTTATACATAAAATGGGGGTAAAAATAGCAGACACCTCAAAGAGTTGTGTGAGGACCAAATAAGAGAATGTGTGAGTAGTGTGTGGCACTCGGCCTGACTGTTGGTAAGAGCCCGATAAATGTCAGCTGCCATTCTAATAATCAATCACTAGTAGGTGCCAGTTACTCTGGCCAAAGCCTAATGGAAAAAAGGCTGGGGACCTCCCTGGTGGCGCAGTGGCTAGGAATCTGCCTGCCAATGCAGGGGACATAGGCTCGAGCCCTTGTCTGGGAAGATCCCACGTGCCGCGGAGCAAATAAGCCCGTGCACCACAACTACTGAGCCGGAGCACCTAGAGCCCGTGCTCCACAGCGGGAGAAGCCACCGCAATGAGAAGCCCACGCAACGCAATGAGGAGTGGCCCCCGCTCACCCAACTAGAGAAAGCCTGTGCTCAGCAACAAAGACCCAACGTAGCCAAAAATAAATAAAATAAAATAAATAAATTTTAAAAAAAAAAAGAAAAAAGGCTAAACACAGACACACAAATCCCACACATTTCATTAGCCGAATGTCCTCTGACACCATCCTTTTCACTAAGTCCAAGTCAGCCTCCTTCCCAAGCTGCTGCCTCCCCCTGTCCATCCCCCTGCCCATCTATCTGTCTATCTTCCTATCTATCGCTCTATCCCTCCCTCCCTCCCTCTCCCTCCCTCTCTCCCTCTCTCTCCCTCTCTCTCCCTCTCTCTCTCTCTCTCTCTCTCTCACACACACACACACACACACACACACACACACACACACAGAGCTGGCTCCCTGGGTCCAGAGGGAAGTGGGGTGGGAGCAGGGAGAGGGCTCAAGGCAGGGAGGGAGCAGCAAAAGGAGACCAGCCCAGGAAGGGAGGGAGAAGGAAGATGAGCCATGATGAAAATCCACTCATGTGCTCGCTGCTGGGCCAAAAGGAAACCCAATCCCAGGCTGGAATGCCAGGGACCCTCGGCACGGAGAGGCTTCATGCAGATAGAAGATGGAAAGTTTATCCAAATAATAAGACTCCAGCGGGCTGCCCTCCTGAGCCAGCAACGGACACAGGCCCTGCCCCACCCCGGGGTCACCAGCTGCATGTCTCCTCGGGCTCCAGCAGGCCCAGAAGGGAGGGTACAAGGGCAAATCCCCTGGGAGGCCCTGCCAGCTTCACATTCCTTGTTCCAGGTGCCTGCATGCCCCCCACCTGTGCATCATGGGAAACTCTGCTCTCGGCCAACAGGCCCACGTTCTGTGTCTGCTTCTCCGGGGGTCAGTTGAGGGTGAGTGGGGACGGGCTCACCGTCTCCCCTGGCAGTGATAACAGATTCCAAGCCCAGATTTCCAGGCGGTGATGCAGGGTTAAGAGTGCTGGGGCCTGGGATTTCCCTGGCGGTCCAGTGGTTAAGGCACTGCGCTGCCAACGCAGGGGGCGTGGGTTCAATCCCTGGTTGGGGAACTAAGATCCCACATGCCGCGTGGTGCGGCCAAAAGATTTTTAAAAAAAAAAAGCCCTGGGGCCTGAGTCCGGGCACCTGACCGTGACTGGGTGACCCTGGCCAAGTTCCTCACCCTCCCAGGCTCTCCAGCACGTCTGTCCAGTGAAGGGGCTGGACTCCATTGGGCTGGACCCTCAAGCCCTTCCTCAGACTGTGACTGTCCCTGACAGCCACACACCCCCATTCAGGGCAGAAGCCCGTTAGTCATCAGCATAACTTTGCTTTCACAATGAACTGGTGTCTGTTCCCCCCACGAGGACAGGGACCCCGTCTGTCTCACTCATGACCTATCCCCAGCACCAAGCACAGCACCGAGCACATAAAACCTGTCCCTGGCTGTGAGATTACACCAGAGCCCTCGATTTGGTCTCCCAGGCATCTTACGACACAGGAAAAGGTTGGGGTTTTCCAGAAAAGCCAGCTCAGGCCTGGGGACAGACCCTTCCCAGCCCCGGAGGCAGTGTTTGCCAGGGGCTCCTCTCCAATCCCAGTAGAGCGCTTCCTATACAGGTGGGGCCTCGCACCTGGAGCCGGCCAGGCCAGCCCAAGGTCACACCTCAGCAGCAGAAAAGGTCACCACCCCGTCAGGCAAACCGAGCTGTCACCTAAGCTCGGATCCTCAGTTTCCTCTTCTGGCAGATTCTGTCAAATGATACAGCACCTGCAAAGGGCCTGGGAAACTGGAGCTGAGCAGGCCCTGCACTTGAGCCTGGGGTGAGGTGAAGGGACGGAGGCGGGTGTGTCTGCGGGACTCTCACCTGGGGCCGGCAGGTCACCCTGCTTCTGTGTCCCCCATTAGAGGAAGATCCCAGCCCCACGGCGGGGTGGGGGACAGATGTACCAGCACTTTGAAAAACAACCACCGAAGGGTAGTGCACACGAGGGGCACTGCGGCCATGGCCAGCAAGAACCACGGCAAAACCAATTTCTGGGCAATTCTGGTTCCCCCAGATACCTGCACTCTCTCGGCTCTGGGGCTCTGCAGAGCTGCCCCTCTACCTATGACTCTTCTTTCTTCATGCCTTGGGTCTCACCTAGACATCCCCTTCCCCAACAAGCCTTCCCTGACCCTCCAAGTCTGGGTCACTGCCGCTCCCTTGGCTCCCAGAGATGCCCTCGCTCCCCACCTCGGCAGGGGTTCCATGCTGGGTCCTTCCTCCCGGAAAGGGGTCCTTGGGAGGATGAGGACCATGGTTGCCTCCCCATCCGGTACCCCCAGCCCCACACACGACCTGGCACCGAGCAGGCTCTCAAACAATGCTGGGATCGATGGATTAATCCCATGGAAATGATTAAGGCTGTCCCACAGAGCACTGCCTGCAACAACGAAAAACAGAAACCACCCAAGTGCCCAGCGATAGGCATTTGGCTGAGCAAGGTAAAAGGCAGGCTATTGCGGCCATGATGGAATATTCTGTAGCCATTCTACGTGCTTCCGGGGGATGACCAGGGTGCAGATGCCCACAGCCCGCTGCAGATTTTCATCTTCTTCCTGTTACTTCTCTTTATTTTCTAATTTTTCTTTGATATTAGATATTGCTTGTGTAATGACAACAACAATAAAAGGGGGGGCTCTGAGGAAGCTCAGAGTTGAAAGGTGCAGCCTCCAGGGTCTGAGGAGGTGACCTTTGTTGGATGCTGGCAGGTGGGAGCCATTGTGGGTCTGAGGGGGAGGTCAGAGCTCACTACCAAGACCTGACTTAATAGCATCCTGTCGCTCGAGTCCAGTCTGCCAGGGCTCCTCTGGGAGGGAAGCCCTGACCTTGGCGGGGGCGCCGGACCCCAAGGGCAGAAACTCTCAGCTCTGAGGGTTCACCTCGTGCCAGGCGCCAGGCATGGCTTACGTCATAAAGCTCACAACACTGCGAGGCGGTTACGCCATCCCCACTCTACATGTGGGGAAACAGAGACACAGAGAGCTGAGGCCACAAGGCAGAGGGGGAGCCCTGAGCACTGCAGAAAGGGGGCCCCGAGCCCAGCCTTCCGCCTCACACACCTTCAGCAGCCGACGTCCAGCTCTAAGCACCCAGCGGGCCTGCGCATCACACGGGGGCCTGTGCCACGTCCTGGCCGGAGCAGTGAGTGGGGTGTCTAAGGGCTGGAGGACTGGTGGGTCACAGACCCACCCAGCTGGATGAGAACAGCACGCTCCTCTCGCCCCACTGTTCCCACCACGCCCACCTGCACTGCCTGGCACAGAGAGACTCCACGCTGGAGAAGCAATCCACCACTTCCCGGTGTGAACCCTCAGAGTCTCATCCATCCACCCACCCACCCCCGGCAAAATCTCTATTGACATGTTGATCAATTTCCTTCTATGTTTTTTCTACACCTGCACAGACATACATACTTGCCGACGTACAGCACATCTTCACTTTCAATGGCTATGCAGTCCCCAAGGCTGGTGGTCACTGTCCTAAAAGCCAGATGACATCCCAAGCCCTGGGAGGGCCCAGCAACAGGACCCTGACCTGTCACAGCACGCCTCCTGGACGGACCCGTTTTCCTGACCAGGAACTGAGACACCAAGAGGGGAAGGGACTTGGGCCACTTGGAGGACTCTGGGAGAGTCCCTGGGCCACCAGGAGCCTGTTTCCTCATGTGACAGGAGGGCAAATAACAGGCATCGCTGAGAGATCGGGCGGCCGAGCTCCTCCCGGGCCTGGTGCAGGGCCCACATAGGCGAGCTCTCTCGGAGCATGGTCATTTCATCACGATGTGCCCTCTGATAATTAGTTAATTAATGGTTGGCCGGAACCACTTGTTCAGCGCATCCCTCCAGCCAAACCTTGAGCTCTACATGGGCAGGGCCTGGGCCAGCTTGGTTTGGGTGCCACGCTCACAGTGGGCCCTCAGTCAAGGTGTGCCCCTGCTCCTGATGCACAGTGAGTCAGTCGGGGTGCCAGGACCCAGGTGTCCCATCCCCAGCCTGTCACACCAGGGCTTAGTCGCAGAGGCCCAGCGCCCAGAGAGGTCGGGAGCCAGGGGGAGGGTCGGCCCACCCAAGATCAAGTCCCTGGGCCCTGCCTCTCCCAGCCTCACCCTTGGGGCTCAAGGACAAGAACAAAAGACTCAAAGCCAGTGAGTCAGACTGAGAGGAATACACGCCAGGAGAGAGGAAGCTGCGTGTGCGCGGCTGCACGCACGCCAGGCCTGTGGTCTCAGACCAAGGTGGGGGACAAACACTCCTTCCAGACGGGCAGAGGGGAAGTCAGAACCAGCGAGGGCCGTGCCCCTGCCCACGTCTGCCCCGCCCCTCCATACCCCCCAGCACACTCTCTGCACCCACCAGACCCTTCATCCAAATAGCTTCAGGTCCCTGTGCTGCGAGATGGAA